GCTTAACAACGGTGGCAAGAAGGGTCGTAAAATGGAGCAAAACCCACTTAACAACTGTCTTGCTTAGCAATGCAAATTCTGGGCTCAATTGTGGTTGTAAGTCGAGGAGTATCTGTATAGGAACCGACTGGGAGAGCGTTGGTACAAATTAGACTGAAAATGACCTCACAGTTAGACTGTGAAGTCATCAATACGGAGAAAAGTCAAGACATTTTCCCCGTATTTTGTCTGTTTCCTTTCTTCTTCTTAAGAATGGCTGGGGATCTGATGGCCGCTAGATTACTACACTGCTAAGGTTACTAATCAGTGGTGAAATGTAAAATTTGTTACTACCGGTTCTGTGGGTGTGGCTTGGTGGTGGGGTAATGTGACTGGGTGGGCGTGGTGAACATTTTTTAAAAAAAAACTTTTAAAAGCTTTTTTTTACAACCTCTTTGGCCAAAAAGGTTGTAGAAAAAATGCTTTTAAAAGGCTCTGGCGATCCCAGCTGAGCCGCGCGATCATCAGAGGCTTTTTTTTTTTTAAAACTTTTAAAAGCATTTTTTCGGCCGAAGAGGTTGTAGAAAAAATGCTTTTAAAAGTAAAAAAAAAAAAGCCTCTAATGATCATGTGGCTCAGCTGGGCATGTGGGGGGGGGAAGGATTTTTGCTACCGGTTTTCCGAACCACTCACCGCCATTGGTACCTGATCAGGTGATCCGGTCCGAACTGGGAGCATTTCACCCCTGGTACTAATCCAAATTAAAATATATCTGAAAAGCTGGATGGCTACCCAGCCTCTGCTGGATCCCAAACAATGAAGTGGAAATCACAAATTCCCTGGATAATTGTTTATAATTGGTTTGTCCACCAAATTTCTTACGGTTAGGACGTTTTTCATGATGTTCGTTCAGAATCATGGTTCCTGCAATTTAAGATGATGCTTCTGTGTCAGCAGAGAGCAAATCTAATCCTTATGATATGTCCTCAGATAACTTTAAAAAATACAGCCATGTCTATCCTTCTCGGTCATTGTTTTTCCACGCTGTTTATTTTCCTGATTTTTCTCCTCATTCTTCTTGGCTTTCTCTGAACTGTTCCAGTTAGGTTTCTATTTTATTTTTTTTTAAATGAGGTGCCAAGGACATACTACTCCAAAAGGGAGGGAGTCAGACCAAGGTAAAAAATAGAGCAGAATTATTCCTTTCTGAGGTGTGGAAACCAAATTCCACTTTTTAGAAGCCAAGACTTATATTCAAGTTGTGCTATATAACAATTCCAAAATCCTTTTCCAATGTTACATTTGATTCCTGTTTCCCATACAGGCAGTCCTCTACTTATGACTATAATTGGATAACCATTTGTCTGAATGTTCAGTTTAGTTTTAGTTTTATTTGATTTATATACCGCCCTACTCCCGAAGGACTCAGGACGGTGAACAGCCACAAGATAAAACACATAAATACAAAATTTAAAAGCAGAATAAAACCGAATTAAACAATTTGGGCGAAGACAGATTTAAAACACCCCAATAATTAAGAACAGATTAAAATTTGCATTTTAAAAAGGGAAAAAAGGGAAAAATTTAGGCCAGGCCAGCCTGATGGAATAAAAAGGTCTTGAGAGCACGGCGGAAGGTGCGTAGATCCGGGATCCTCCATATCTCCGGGGGGAGCTCATTCCTGATAGTAGGTGCCCCCACAGAGAAGGCTCTCCCCCTGGGGGCCGCCAGTCGACATTGTTTGGCTGACGGCACCCAGAGGAGCCTCTCTTTATGAGAGCGTACCAGCCGGTGGGAGGCTACTGGTGGCAGCAGGGGGTCCCATAGATAACCAGGTCCTAAGCCATGGAGCGCTCTAAAGGTGGTAACCAAGACCTTGAAGCACACACGGAAGACCACTGGGAACCAGTGCAGCTCGCACAGGAGAGGTCTTACATGGGAACGCCATGTCGCTCCCATAACCACCGCGCGGCCGCACTCTGCGCCAGTTGGAGTCCTCCGGGTGCTCCTCAAGGGGAGCCCCATGTAGAGAGCGTTGCAGTAGTCCAGGCGGGAAGTGACAAGGGCATGAGTGACCTTTGCCTCAGCCATTCACTCAGCCATGAGTGGATGGCTGAGGCAAAGAGGCAGTCCCGGAACCAGCGAAATCTGGGGGCTGGGCAGGGGACAGAATGTATCTGCCCTCAGTGTGGAAGGGATTGCCACTTTCGAATTGGCCTTTTTAGTCACACTAGATGCTGTTTTAGGACCTCTTTCCAGAGCACGATATCATAGTTTCTTGAGACTGAAGGATGCCAATGATTTGTCTGAAATGGTATAGGGCAATGATGGCTAACTTTTTTGCTGTCGCATGCCAAAAGCGGGGGAAGCGCGGGGGGTCGCTCACACGTGTGCTCACACCCATAATAACGCATGCGGGTGTGACCCCCACTTTTGGCACATGATGGCACAGTGGGCCCGGTAGGCCTGTTTTTTTGCCCTCCCCAGGCTCCAGAGGCTTTCTAGGAGCCTGGGAAGGGCTAAAATGGCCTCTCCCCCCCTGGAGGCCAGGCCCACCAAGCCACGCCCACAGAACAGGTAGTAAAAAAAAATTGAATTTCACCACTGACACGAAGCCCTAAACCTTGCTAGTATACAAGGTGAGAAATCTACAGGACAACATTGAAGTCCTAATGTCACAAAATAATGATGAAGTTGGAATGTTTTTCAGAATCAAGGGCCGAACTAGAGGAAAAAAAAGAATAATAGGGATCTGTAACTGGTAGTTTGCAGGAATTTAGATGCTCACTAGATGGCAACAATTAGTTTATTGTCCTTCTTTAATGACATCTAGGATCATTTCATGGCCAGGTATGGTCATCCTAGCTAAAGCTAAACTAAGTTTATATTTAGATGTACTCATTTTATATGTTTATGGCTATGTTTTGCTCATTTATATCCATTTATTTGAGCCATTTTTCCATGTGTCCATGTCTATGTCTATACTGATCCTTGTTTCTTTGTACTTGTTGAATAAATGAATAAATAAATAGAGAAAGAAAGAAAGAAAGAAAGAAAGAAAGAAAGAAAGAAAGAAAGAAAAAGAAAGTAAGTAAGTAAGTAAGTAAGTTGGATTTTTTGGTCTTTAGCTTTTTAGCCAGCTATTTATTCACATCTCAAATGTTGCCTAGAAAGGAAGCAAAACTGGGGAGGAAGAATCAAGAAGACAAGTTAACTTCATTGCTCACAGACTATTTTTTTAAAACTCAGTTTATAAACTGAGTTTTATGGGATTTCTGCCCTTTCATTCAGTTGCAGAAGGGACAGGCCATCCTTAATATGTAAAGCAAGGCAAACTTCAGAGGCTGAGTAGACACTTTTAAAAAAAATGTTCACAGGTCCTCGACTTACGACCACAATTGAGCCCAGGATTTCCATTGCTAAGTGAAACATTTGTTAAGCGAGCTTTGTCCCATTTTACGACCTTTCTTGCCACGGTTGTTAAACGAACAACTGCAGTTGTTAAGTTAGGAACACGGTTGTTCAGTGAATCTGGCTATCCCGCTGACTTTTGTTGTCAGAAGGTCACAAAAAGTGATCGCACGACCCCAGGACCCTGCAACCGTCATAAACACGAGTCAGTTGTCAAGCGTCTGAATTTTGATCAAATGAGCACGGAGATGCTGCAACGGTCGTAAGAAAAATGGTCAGAAACCACTTTTTTCAGTGCCATTGTAACTTTGAATGGTCACTAAACAAAATGTTGTAAGTCAAGGACTACCTGTATTCTCTATTGCTGAATACTATTAGACTAGACTGAGGATTATTTCTCAACTCAAATAATCACTCTGTTACAGAAGGCAATGGTATAGTGTCTCCTGTGGGGGGTTGGACTAGATGACCTACAAGATCCTTTCCAACTCTGTTAATCTGTTAATCAACCTCAGCATCTTTTCAGAGATGTGGACTTCAACTCCCGGAATTCCGCAGCCGGCATGCTTTGTAAACCATGGTTTATGGCTTAGTACAATGTTTCTCCACCTTGGTCGCTTGAAGAAGCGTGGGCTTCAACTCCCAGAATTCCACAGCCGGCATGCTTTGTAAACCATGATTTATTTATGGCTTAGTACAGTGTTTCTCCACCTTGGTCGCTTGAAGAAGCATGGGCTTCAACTCCCAGAATTCCACAGCTGGCATGCTTTGTAAACCATGATTTATGGCTTAGTACAGTGTTTCTCAACCTTGATCGCTTGAAGAAGTGTGGACTTCAATTCCCAGAATTCTGCAGCCGGCATGCTTTGTAAACCATGATTTATGGCTTAATACAGTGTTCCTCAAACTTGGCCGCTTAAAGAAGTGTGGACTTCAACTCCCAGAATTCCACAGCCAGCATGCTTTGTAAACCATTATTTATGGCTTAGTACAGTGTTTCTCAACCTTGGGTGCTTGAAGAAGCGTGGACTTCAACTCCCAGAATTCCCCCACCAGCACGGCTGACTGGGGAATTCTGGGAGTTGAAGTCCACACCTCTTCAGGTGGCCAAAATGGAGAACCATTGTCTTAGCACATTACACAATCTCAACCTATGATGGTTTATTCCCTAATTTGTGGCTTAAAACTTTGGGGGGGGAGATGGAATCCAGTCTCTATCTGTCCCCATCCCACAATACGTCCTTCCACATAGTCAGGCTGCCTTGCCGCTCCACTTTGGCCCACTCCCCAAACAGCGAGGCTGGGCTGGACCACTTTATTTCCCTCATGAAGTTCACCATAGAAACTATCCGAGCCGCAGAGGCTGACGGGAACTGAAGTCCTCTAGCGTAGAGAGGGAGGCCGGGTGGGGTGGGGCTAGCCATTTTAGGCGGTTCGCTCTTGGCGTTGCCATAGCAGCGGAAAGCCGTCTCTCGACCTATTTCCGGCTTTTCCCACCGGAAGACGGCCGCATGGACTTTAGGCACCGCGGGGCTGAAAAATCCTGGAGGCTCGAATAGGTGGCGCCGAAAGTCTGACCATAGAGACGAGGGGTTCGAGGGACTCTAGGTAAAGAAAGCAAGGTAGGGTTTCCGCTTCCGTCTCGCGGCCGCTTCCGTGTTTGGGCGTGATGGAGTCGGTCCTGAGCGAAGTGGTGGCGTCGGAGGATCTAAAAGTGAGTGACAGCTGCCTGGTCCTGAACCAGCGTGGCCGGGGGAGGTCTCCGAGTCCAGGAGCAGTCTACCTTTGGTTGCTAAGCTGGAAAACGAAGAGGGGGGGGAGTGGAAGGTTGGGTGTCCCCCTTCCAGCCACTCCCTCCAGGGCAGGGGTGGGCAACTGTGGCCCTTTTACAACCTGTGGACTTCAACTCCCAGAATTCCTGAGACAGCAAAGCTGGCTTAGGAATTCTGGGAGTTGAAGTCCACAGGTTGTAAAAGGGCCACAGTTGCCCACCCCTGCTCCAGAGGGAAGTTCTGGGCTTGGGGTCCAACAAGGCTATTTATTTAACAGTAACAGAGTTGGAAGGGACCTTGGAGGTCATCTAGTCCAACCCCCTGCTCACGCAGGAAACCTGGACTAGGGATTCTAGCAATATATGTTAGCATTTCTCCTAGATGAATAGGAATAATAGGAATAGGATGAAAATAAGACCCAGAAATAAGAAGTTTAATACATGAAATTGCAGTAGTCGGAACATTTGGGTTAAGATATATAGTTAATTGGTTTCCACTAATATGTTGAATCGTATTATTGGGAAGAATTGATAAAAGAATCATTGGTGATTAGAAGAAAAGAATTTAAGGAAATAATTGGGGAATTGTACTGTGTTATGTGAATCTAAATTTAGGGGTTCAAATTTTAAGGAGGGAAAAGAAAAATTGAGCTATAATAGGATGAGAAGTCAAGATGAAGGGTAATGTTGGTTTTTTTAAAAAAAATTAAAGAGAATAAATGCTATGAGAAAAATTGGACATATCAAATTGTGTTAAAGATGAACAAAAATCTGTACAAATTTAAGACCGGGCCAATATTCTGTTCAGAAAAGATGTACTGTATGTTTGTTTGTGTGTTTAAAAAAAAAACTTTCCAAAAAAAAAATGGAATAGAATAGAATAGAATAGAATAGAATAGAATAGAATATATGGAATGGAATGGAATAGAATATAAAATATATAGAATAGAATAGAAAATATATACACTGCTCAAAAAATAAAGGGAACACAAGCAGAAGACATTCAAGATCTGAATGAATGAAATAGCCATATTAAATACTTTGTTCATTACATACAGTAGTTTGTGTTCCCTTTAGTTGTTTGAGCAGTGTATAAACAACTATACACTGTATATATAAAGAACAAAGTATTTAATAAAGCTATTTCATTCATTCAGATCTCGGATGTCTTCTGCTTGTGTTCCCTTTATTTTTTTGAGCAATATAGAATAGAATAGGAAAGAGACGAGAGAAGAGAAGAGAATAGAAAATATGGAATGGAATGAATAGAATATAAAATAAATAGAATAGAATAGAATAGAATAGAATAGAATAGAATATAAAATATATAAAATAGAATAGAATATAAAATATATAGAATAGAATAGGAAAGAGACAAGAGAAGAGAGAAAAGAAGAGAAAATATGGAATGGAATAGAATAGAATATAAAATATATAGAATAGAATAGAATAGAATAGAATAGAATAGAATAGATAGAATAGAATAGAATAGAATAGAATAGAATAGAATATTTTATTGGCCAAGTGTGATTGGACACACAAGGAATTTATCTTGGTGCATATGGTTTCAGTGTACATAAAAAGAAAGGATATATTTGTTAAGAATCATAAGGTACAACACTTAATGATAGTCACAAGGTACAAATAAGCAATCAGGAAACAATATCAATATAAATCGTAAGGATACAAGCAACAAAGTTACAGCCATACAGTCATAAGTGGAAGGAGATGGGTGATGGGAACGATGAGAAAATTAATAGTAGTGCAGACTTAGTAACTAGTTTGACGGTGTTGAGGGAAAATGAGTAAAGCACAGTAAAATATAAATGTTAAAAAGATATATTTTCAAAAGTCCCAGCAGGGTTATCCTTGCTCGGTTGGTTGTTAGGCTCGACTAGATGTCCTCATGGGCCTCTTTCATTAGGGTTAAGTACGTCTCTGCTTAACCTTTACAAGGCTTTCAAATGTGCTTAGTCCTTTATTCCTTTCCATATAACTTTTTTTTTTTCCTTTTTCTTCTCTGGGCTTCTTTTCATGTTCCTTCCCTTTCGATTTACAGGTAGTTCTTGTCTTACAACAGTTCATTTAGTGACCTGTTCCAAGTTACGCCGGCACGGCAAAAAGTGACGTGACGGGTTTTTTTTTTTCACACTTAAAAACAACCACTGCAGCGTCCCTGTGGTCACATGATCAAAATTCAGGTGACTCGTATTTATGACGGTTGCGGTGTCCTGACACCACGTGACCACGTTTTGCAACCTCCTGGCGAGCAAAGTAAATGGAAAAATCTAGATTCACTTAGCCACTCTGGCAAGAAAAGTCATAAAATGGGGCAAAATTCACATAACTGTCTCACTTAACAACAGAAATGTCGGGCTCAATTGTGGCTGTAAGTCGAGGACTATAGTTTCCCTGGGTACCTTTTTTGTTTGATGTGCAAGAATCCTAATTTGCTGCACGGATGGGATAAGTGAGGAGAAATCCAACGTGAATTGGGAAGTTGGCCCTAAATCCTTTACAACTTGTAAGACAGACATGCAGAGGCTTTTCTAATCTTAAGCAATTTATTTATTTTGCTTATTTATTTATTGGGTTTTTATCCCACCTTTATTTCTTTGTGGCAAACATACAAAATACAGGCAGTCCTCAACTTACAACAGTTCATTTAATGACCAAAGTTGACTGATGACCGTTTTTCACACTTACAACCATTTTTCACCCTTACGACCTTTCCGGCATCCCTATGGTCGTGATCAAAAATTCAGATGCTTGGCATATTTATGTCTTTATTTATTTATATATTTATATTTATATCTTGACATATTTATGTCAGTTGCAGTGTCCCGGGGAAGTCACATGATCCCCTTTTGCGACATTCTGAGAAGCGAAGTCAACGGGGAAACCAGATTCACTTAACAACCGTGTTACTAACCTACCAAATGCAACATTTCATTTAACAACAGCGGCAAGAAAAGTAATAAAATGGGGCAAAACTCACTTAAGTGTTTCACTTAGAAACATCAATGTTGGACTCAATTATGGTCGTAACTCGAGGACTACCTGTGCTAGCAACTTCTTCAACTAAGATCAGCAGTACCCAGCATTTCCCTGATCAAACCTGCTTTTTTCCCCTATAACCTGGAACTAGAAAAAGAAAAATGCATATACAATACAATACAATACAATACAATACTATTCTATATTGGCCAAGTGTGATTGGACAAACAAGGAATTTGTCTTTGGTGCATATGCTCCAGTGGTGAAATCTAAAATTTGTTACTATCGGTTTTGTGGGCGTGGCTTGGTAGGGGGGGTAATGTGACTGGGTGGGCGTGGCCATTTTTTAAAAAAAACTTTTAAAACCATTTTTTCTCCAACCTCTTTAGCGAAGAGGTTGTAAAAAAAATGCTTTCAAAAGGCTCTGATGATCCCAGCTGAGTTGCCTGATTGGCAGAGGCTTTTTTTCTTTTAAATGCCTCTGCCGATCAGGCAACTCAGCTTGGATCGTCAGGCATCGTCTTGGATCGTCAGCTTGGATCGTCAAACTCAGCTTGACGACCAGGTAACTCAGCTTGGATCGTCAGAGGCATTTAAAAGAAAAAAAGCCTCTGATGATCGCGTGGCTCAGCTGGGCATGGGGGGGTGGGGCAGGGATTTTTGCTACCGGTTCTCCGAACCACTCGCCTCCATCGCTACCGGATCGGTCGATCTGGTCTGAACCGGGAGCATTTCACCCCGATATGCTCTCAGTGTACATAAAAAGTAAAGATACATTCGTTAAGAATCATAGAGCCTTGGTAGTACAGGGGTTTAGGCACCCTGTTATTAAGCTGGTTATTAAGACTAGCTGCCTGCAATTACTGCAGGGTTCGAACCTCGCCAGGCTCAAGGTTGACTCAGCCTTCCATCCTTTCTAAGGTAGGTAAATTGAGGACCCAGTTGTGGGGGCAATAAGCTGACTTTGTATAAATATACAAAAGGATGAAGGCTATTGCTGAGCACATTGTAAGCCGCCTTGAGTCTTCGGAGAAGGGCGGCATATAAATCAAATTAAAAAATAATAATAATAAAGTACAACACTTAATGATAGTCATAGGGTACAAATAAGCAATCAAATCATACTAGGAAACAATATAAATTGTAAGGATACAGCAACAAGTTACAGTCATGCAGTCATAAGTGGGAGGAGATGGGTGATAGGAACCATGAGAAGATTAATAATAATAGTCATGCAGGCTTATTGAATAGTTTGTGTTGAGGGAATTATTTGTTTAGCAGAGTGATGGCGTTCGGGAAAAAAACTGTCCTCGTGTCTAGTTGTTCTGGTATGCAGTGCTCTGTAGCGTCGTTTTGAGGGTAGGAGTTGAAACAGTTTATGTCCAGGATGCGAGGGATCTGTAAATATTTTCACAGTCCTCTTTTTGACTCGTGCAGTAAACAGGTCCTCAATGGAAGGTAGGTTGGTAGTCATTGTTTTTTCTGCAGTTCTAATTATCCTCTGAAGTCTGTGTCTGTCTTGTTGGGTTGCAGAACCAAACCAGACAGTTATAGAGGTGCAGATGACAGACTCAATAATTCCTCTGTAGAACTGAATCAGCAGCTCCTTGGGCAATTTGAGCTCCCTGAATTGGCGCAGAAAGAACATTCTTTGTTGTGCTTTTTTGATGACATTTTTTAATGTTAGGTGTCCATTTTAGGCCTTGAGATAAGATAGAACCTAGAAATTTTATTTTAAATTTTAAAATAAAATAAAATATTAAATGTGAGTGGAGATGGACAAGGGACTCTTGCTTTTGCATCAAAATTGTTATGCTGAGGCTAAGTTAGATAAGTGTCGGTAGCAAGTCAACTTTCTGACAACTGATATGCTCACATCGTTAAAACTAAACACATCACTCAAATGGTTGAGATTACACCATCATTTTTACGTGCCAGGTATGGTG